CTTTCCTTCTCCCTTTCCCTGCATACCCTTTATCTTCCTCTCTCCCTAGCTGGGTTGCTCTGCTGAGAGAGAGAGAGAGAGAGAGAGAGCGGAGGAAAGGCCTCCTCTCCCACTTTTCCAGGAGCCATTGGCAGGCCGGGAGGACTTCCATCAGCCTCCGTCGAGCTGCTGCTGCTGGGTTGCAGCTGCTCCTCTAGGCCTGCAGTAGCAGCTCGACGGTGGAGGTGTTCAGAGATAGGATGCCGCTGCCTCCGCCGCTCCAGGAAGGCATGTGATTATTGCTGGGCTGGGAAAGGGCTGCCGCTATCCCTATCAGGAGTGCCATTGGCTTGTGGGTCGGCCGCCATTTTGGAGGGGGCGTGGCTAGCCAATGCGGCTTGGCGACCCCCAGAAAATGGCCAAACGACCCCCCAGGGGGTCGCGACCCCCAGGTTGAGAACCGCTGGTCTAGAGGCATTCTCTCCTGACGTTTCGCCTGCATCTATGGCAAGCATCCTCTGAGGTAGTGAGGTCTGTTGGAACCACGAAAATGGGTTTATATATCTGTGGAATGACCTGGGTGCAGGCGAAACGTCAGGAGAAATGCCTCTAGAACATAGCCATATAGCCCGAAAAAACCCACAAGAACTTATTGTCCCTTATAGCCAATTTGATCTTCCAGTTGGGCAAGGAAATATCTTGTGTGACGTTGCACAATTAAACCTGGTATTTTACCTTAATTTTGGACTTTCTGGGGCAAAAAAGTAGGATATTTACAGAGCATGGGAAAATAACAAACCTCAAAACAATGAAAAAGATGCTTGCCATATATGCAGGTGAAACGTCAGGAGAGAATGCCTCTAGAACATGGCCATATGGCCCGAAAAAACCTACAACAACCTAATGAAAAAGAACATCAACACCTATAGAATGCAACACAGATAAATGGAATAAATAAGTGTTGCGCCAAAAATTGCCATGTGGTTTTCTGGTGCTCATTTGGCACAACATTATTCTTGTACATTTTGTACCTTTTTTTGTACAAGAGTTTGAGTTTTGGGGAAGGCTGCACAATTCACAATTTGCAGGGTAGACATGAAATCTATATAAATAACAATGTAATGTTTGTTTGTGGGATTAACAGAACTCAAAAACCACTGGACGAATTGTCACCAAATTTGGACACAAGACACCTAACAACCCAATGTATGTTCTTTGCTAAAAAAAATTCGATTTTGTCATTTGGGAGTTGTAGTTGCTGGGATTTATAGTTCACCTACAATCACAGAGCATTCTGAACCCCACCAACGATGGAATTGAACCAAACTTGGCACACAGTTCTCCCATGACCAACTGAAAATACTGGAATGGTTTGGTGGGCAGTGTCCTTTGTTTTGGAGTTGTAGTTCACCTACATCCAGAGAGCACTGTGGACTCAAACAATGATGGATCTGGACTAAACTCTACACGAATACTCCCTAATGTAAACAATGGTGGAGTTTGGGGAAAATAGAATCTTAACATTTGGGAGTTGTAGTTGCTGGGATTTATAGTTCACCTACAATCACAGAGCACTCTGAACCCCTCCAACGATAGATTTGGGCCGAACTTCCCACACAGAACCCCCATGACCACCAGAGTGGGCCACAGCAACGCGTGGCAGGGGACGGCTAGTCAATAATATGAATAACAATAATAGTTCTGCATGTGGTGCCTTTTCACATTTGGTGAAACGTTGGGTTGCACAAATTTGCCAGTCTACTTAAGGGTTGAGTTGCAAAATCAAACATAATTCTACATATAGTGGATTAGTCTACAAAACACCTACTTATCATCATCATCATCATCATCATCATCATATTTATTTCCCACTTGGATCTCTTGACTGAGATGTAAGACAACTTACCAATATCAAAAGTTTAAAGTCCAGAGCATGCAAATATAAAAATGGAATTAAACATCAGAGACAGGATCTACAACAGCGTTTCTCAACCTGGGGGTCACGAGGGGGAGGTCGGAGGGGTCATCAAAGACCATCAGAAAGCAGTATTTTCTGTTGGTCATGGGGGTTCTGTGTGCCAAGTTTGGCCCAATTCCATCGTTGGTGGAGTTCAGAATGCTCTTTGATTGTAGGTGAACTATAAATCCCAGCAACTACAACTCCCAAAATCAATTCCCTCCATCCCCACTGGTATTGAAATTTGGGCATATCATATTTTTGTGCCAAATTTGGTCCAATGAATGAAAATCCAACCTGCATATCAGATATTTACATTACGATTCAGAATAGAAGTAATTTTGGTCCAATGAATGAAAATCCATCAGATATTTACATTATTATTCATAATAGGAGCAAAATTACAGTTATGAAGTAGCAACAAAAATAATGTTATGTTTGGGGGTCACCACAACATGAGGAACTGTATTAAGGGGCCGTGGCATTAGGAAGGTTGAGAAACACTACTTTATGGTCACAAATATTCCTGCGGGAGAGACACATAACATTTGGGCATATTGAGTATTTGTGTCAAGTTTGGTCCAGATCCATCATTGTTCAATGATATCCAGTTTCTGGAGGTAGGTGAACTACAAATCCAAAAGTCAAGGTCAATGACTACCAGACCCTTCCAGTATTTTCTGTTGGTCATGGGAATTCTGTGTGCCAAGTTTGGCCCAATTCCATTGTTGGTGGGGTTCAGAATGCTCTTTGATTGTAGGTGGACTATAAATCCCAGCAACTATAACTCCCAAATGACAAAATCACCCCCCCCCCAACCCCACCAATATTCAAATTTGAGCATAATCGGGTATTTGTGTCAAATGTGGTCCAATGAATGAAAATCCATCAGATATTTACATTATATTGTCCAAGGCTTTCATGGCCGGAATCACTGCGTTGTTGTAGGTTTTTTCAGGATGTAGCCCGAAAAAACCTACAACAATCCTATTTACATTATGATTCATAATAGGAGCAAAATTACAGTTATGAAGTAGCACCAAAATAATTTTATGGTTGGGGTCAACACAACATGAGGAACTGTATTAAGGATTTGGAAGTCACCACTTATTTATTTATTTATTTATCGAGTCATCAGCAACCATAACATTTATTATATTTCTAACAGAACAAAACAAACACAGAGATTTAAAAAAAAACACAGATTTTGCAAACTTGGTAGTTTGTTAAATGTCCTTTGACCAGTATCTGGCCACTTGGAGTGCCTCTGGTCCGCAAGAAGGTGCATGTGGCAGGGCTCAGGGTGCATTGCAGCAGGTGGTCAGTGGTTTGCTCTTTCCACACTCGCATGTCCAGGATTCCACTTTGTGGTCCCATTTCTTGAGGTTGGCTCTGCATCTCGTGGTGCCAGGGCGCAGTTGTTCAGCACCTTCCAAGTGCCCAATCTTCTGTGTGCCCAGGGGGGAGTCTCTTCTGGTATCAGCCATGATTGAGGTTCTGGGTTTGAGCCTGCCACTTTTGGACTCTCGCTTGCTGGGCTGTTCCAGCGAGTGTCTCTGTAGATCTTAGAAAACTATTTCTTGATTTAAGTTGTTGGCGAGCTGGCTGATACCCAAACAGGGAGTGGGCTGGAGATGTCACTGCCTTGGTCCTTTCACTATTGGCTGCTACTTCCCGGCGGATGTCAGGTGGTGCAATACCGGCTAAGCAGTGTAATTTCTCCAGTGGTGTAGGGCGCAGACACCCCGTGATAATGCGACATGTCTCATTAAGAGCCACATCTACTGTTTTAGTGTGGTGAGATGTGTTCCACACTGGGCATGCGTACTCAGCAGCAGAGTAGCATAGCGCAAGGGCAGATGTCTTCACTGTGTCTGGTTGTGATCCCCAGGTTGTGCCAGTCAGCTTTCGTATGATGTTGTTTCTAGCGCCCACTTTTTGCTTGATGTTCAGGCAGTGCTTCTTGTAGAGCACGGTCCAGAGTGACTCCCAGGTATTTGGGTGCGCTGCAATGCTCCAGTGGGATTCCTTCCCAGGTAATCCTCAGAGCTCGGGATGCTGTCTGTTCTTAAGGTGAAAAGCACATGTCTGTGTTTTAGATGGATTAGGGATCAGCTGGTTTTCCCTGTAATAGGCAGTAAGAGCACCTAGAGCTCATATAATTCATATAATTCTCCACAATAAGTCTTCCAGGAGTGGATTTCCCTTCCTTCCGAGGGGTAGATTTCTTTCATTTCCTATTGTCTCATTTCTGTTCTTAACTATGAGTTATTTGGAAATCAGATATTTGTAACTCTGGGACTGCTTGTATATGTCAATAATAAAGTTGAAAGAGACCCCAAGGAGTCATTCATGTCAATAAACTTCTGCCAAGCAGGAACACATAATCAAATCCTTCCCAACAGATGGTCTACCAGTAGTTAGGAATGGTTGGAGTTGAAGTCCAAAACACCAGGAGGGCCATAGTTTATTTATTTACTTCATTATATACCACTTTTCTCAGCCCTTGGGCAACTCAAAGCGGTTAACAATAGCAAAATTCAATGTTCAACATCATAAAAACAGTTAAAAAACAATTAAAACAATGACATAATAAACAATCAATTAAACATAACTATAACATCTCATTAGCATCTCATAGGTAGAATCAAGACCCAACCTCATAATTCGTTGTTCCATATTCCTATGTTCATTACACTGCCTATTCAAATTCCTGTTTGAACAACCAGGTCTTCACCTTCCTCTGAAATGTCAACAGGAAGGGGGCCGATCTAATTTCTGTAGGAAGGGCGTTCCACAACCAAGGGGCCACCACTGAGAAGGCCCTGTCTCTCGTCCCCGCCAGACGTACTTGTGATAGTTGGCCCATGGCTGGTCTAGAGGACCACTTAAAATTACATGGCAGGCCAGATTTGGCCCGCAGGTCTTGACGCGTGTGATTTAGGCAATTTCTTGCAGAGGTTTCATGTAGATGTTGTGTAGCATGAGGACAATAAACATAGTTACAGGACACCCAAGGTGAAGGTGTCCCCTTCTGTACTACCTTCTGGAATCTGCCCTCCAGGAAGGATTCGGTCCACCACACCGTCCTCCCTTGAAGCAAAATCCCCGCAAGACAACTTGGGACGCTATCATGGTTTCTCACACCGAAAGCTTCTGAGGAGCCAGACAGAGCAGATGGGCGCACATCATCCAGGAGGCCAACTGAGGCTCTTTCGATCCCAAAACCATGTTGAAAACCAGAGTCAAACCAAAGAGGATACAACTTCTCACCTAAGAAGTCCTGGAATTGGGTCGACATCATACGCTCGATCAACGGCACCGTATCAAAAAATGAAGTGTTGGAGACCAGATGGTAATTGTCCCATACATTGAGGAATCGTGATGCCTTCTGATCTAATCATACCGATGGTATGCTGAACGTGAAGTGTTCTAGATGAGAAGGTTTGGTGGAACTGCGGGTGGTCAGTTTTGATGTTTACTTGGATTTTTAAAAAATTGCTGTATTGCAAAAACAATACATTTCCAGCTTAATGGAAGTTTAAAAGTTAAAGATGATGTCGATACTTAGGTGGAAAATATGTTTTTTTACTTTCCTACACATTGTGTATTTGGATAATGTATGATTCACTCTGTCTTCAGTGAGTTGTTCTTTCTGTCTCCTTCCATTTCAGGAGATGTTCAGGCCGTGAATATCTTTGCCAGTGCTCCATCCAATAGGAATCTGGAGAAGTTCCAGGTAAGTAAGGACCAGACAGTGAGAAGTTGTATCCAGTTTCTTGTTGAGGGTTGTAGTCAAACATCTGGCAAACCAGGTTTCTCATTTTGAGGATCGGTACATACATAGCATCGGAACTGTGGCTGTCACGCTGCCAGGGCTCTGCCTTATTTAGGTAGAGATGAACCAAACTCCCAGTTTTATCAAACAGTTTAATTAAAATAGCACTTACTTGCTGGCTGTTTTAATAGACCAAAATATAAAACATAAAGATAGCACTCAGCCACAGAAGAAACAAAAACTAATAGCAAAAGCTACACCGTAGTCAAAGGTCAAGCAGTTCAGTGGTCAAACGCTGAGGGTTCAATAAACAAAGTCCAGGGATCAAGAGTCTATACTGTAGTCAAAAGCCAGTCCTAAGGTTCAAGGTTCCAAGATAACAGGAGACAGGTCAGGATACCAAAAATCCAACAAAACTGGGGGGAAACCAGCAGCATCCACCACCAAAATATGATAATACTTTTCTCCTAAAGATCATTTCCAAGGCTTGCTCCTTATATCCACAAACACCCAGCTGCAACCTATCTCTTGCATACCTCCACCCTTAATTTCTTTCACCCATGAACTCTTACTTACAGATTACTAAACCCTTTAGAATACTTACATTAACCCATCACCAAGCATCATCAACTGCAGAACATATGACAATGGCGTAGCTGGCTGGGAGTCAGCTGCATTAAGATCACTTCTGACCAAAAGGTCATGAGTTCGAAGCCAGCCCGGGTCGGAGTGAGCTTCCGACCAATTTGTGTAGCTGGCTGTCGACCTTTGCAGCCCGAAAGACAGTTGCATCTGTCAAGTAAGAAATTTAGGTACCGCTTATGCGGGGAGGCTAATTTACGACGCCATAAAAATCTCCAGCAAGCATGCAAAGAATGAGGAAGTACTTCATCGGTGTCACAAATGGAGGGTGAAGTGACAGCTCCCCTGGTGGCCAGAATACCCTCATGAAAAAGCTGGAATGTTAAATAGCCTCTGGGTGTGTCTGTCTATATATGTTGTGTGTCTAAATGGCACTGAATGTTTGCCATGTACATGTACATTGTAATCTGCCCTGAGTCCTTTGCTTACGGGTATTTTGAGGCTTATAAAATAGGAGGCGGAATATGTCAGAAATATTAAATAATAACTAGGCCATTTTAATTACAAAAATGGGAGTCAAGCACTGAAAGGGTTAAATGGATGCAATGACTCAGCAAAAGCTCAATTCAGTATAAGCAGTTGTGCCTGCAACTTAGTTCGCCTCAGTCTGTGAGAGGTCTCTGTGGGAGAAGGGCCTCAGAAATAATAGTAGGCCTCAGTGTTAGTTCACCTCAGTGGGAGAAAAGCCGTCAGTCTGAAAGAGCCCTCAGTGTGAGTAAGGCCATCAGTCTGAGAGAGCCCTCAGTGTGAGAAGGCCTCAATGGGAGAAAGGCAGTCTGAGAGAGCCCTCAGTGTGAGAAGGCCTCAGTGGGAGAAAGGCCGTCAGTCTGAGAGAGCCCTCAGTGTGAGAAGGCCATCAGTCTGAGAGAGCCCTCACTGTGAGAAAGCTTCAGTGGGAGCAAGGCCGTCAGTCTGAGAGAGCCCTCGGTGTGAGAAGGCCTCAGTGGGAGAAAGGCCATCAGTCTGAGAGAGCCCTCAGTGGGAGAAGGCCTCAGTGGGAGAAAGGTCGTCAGCCTGAGAGAGCGTGTGGGAAGGCCTCAGTGGGAGAAAGGCCATCAGTCTGAGAGAGCCCTCAGTGTGAGAAGGTCATCTGTCTGAGAGAGCCCTCACTGTGAGAAAGCTTCAGTGGGAGAAAGGCCGTCAGTCTGAGAGAGCCCTCAGTGTGAGAAGGCCTCAGTTGGAGAAAGGCCATCAGTCTGGGAGAGCCCTCAGTGTGAGAAAAGCCTCAGTATGAGGCCTACCTCACCCTCAGTATGAGGTCAAAAGATATTTAGCCTCTTGTTCTCCTATTTTTATCAGTTTTGTACAAATTTATGCAAGACTTTTGATACGAAATAAATAAATATAAGTATGAGGAAGGCCTGGCGTGGGAGAGAAACCCCAGGTTGAAGGTCTCATGTGTAAAGTTACTGTGTGATGCTCCTGTATAACTTTAATGTGAATAAGGCTCTGAGAGAGCAAAACTGTTTATCTTTGTGAGAAAGAAGCCCAGTGTGGAAGCAAAGAAGGAAGTCTAAAGAACTTTATTTGTATTATAGAAACCTTGTTCTTGTAAATAGTGTAACCATATTGTTTTACTACAAAGAAAAGCCTGCTAAGGAAGAGATAACATTGGTCCATGCATTTTTGTTCATTTTATCACTTGTGGCTATGGGTGCTGGGTCACGCTGCTGCTAATAAGTTACTCTGCTGTATATTCTTGGGGTCTTTCGTTAATAAGACCACTCACCCCACAGAATATACACCCATTTATGTTTTGCAAGGGCAACTTCTGGTGCTATACACCCCTGCCTTTAATAGTACTCTGAGCATCAGAAGACGTTGATCTGGGTGAAGGAATTGTAACAGTAATGTTTGGTGAGTTTCACCATGTTCTTCTGATCTTTCTTGGTTCCTCAAAAGACCCTTTCCTGCAGGACCACCCACTCCAACCTGGAGGTGCTGGAGAACTGTACCTTCGTCTTCCTGGCCACCAAGCCTCACGTCCTCCCAACCGTCCTGGAAGAAATTGCCCCAGCGGTCACTCCCGAGCATGTCGTCATTTCCATGGCTGCCGGAGTTACGCTCGAGACCCTCGAAGAGGTGAGTCCCCCATCATCAAGGTCCCATTGATCTCTGATTGAAATTAGTAACGTGTACCTATATAAGCAACACTTGTACTGAACATACCCAACAGTCAGTGTCTTCTCTTTCTGTTGCTCCACAGGGTCTCCCTACCGGGACCAAAGTGCTGCGGATCATCCCCAACCTCCCTTGCGTGGTCCAGTCGGGGGCCATCATTCTGTCCCGGGGCAGCTGCGTCGGGGAGAATGAGGTGGACGTCCTGAAGAAGCTCCTCTCTCCTTCGGGGCTCTGCGAAGAAGCTCCAGAGTCGTACATTGACATCCACACCGGTTTGAGTGGCAGTGGAGTGGCCTACGTGAGTGCCTTTTCCCTCTTGGGCCCTTGGTTGGCTTCTTGGAAATGGAAGAGACCAGGGACTTGGTGGAAACCATCTCATTCTGTGTTTGCAGTGCTTCCCAAACATTGGTCTTCAAGATGTTTTGAATTTGAACTCCCAGAAATTTAAATAGCCTGGGAGCTGGAGAACCATCTACTGGTTGTTAGGAATTGTGGGAGTTGATGTCCAAAACACCTGGAGGGCCGAAGTTTGCCCATGACTGCTCTAAATGATCATCCAACTGTTGTGGGGGTATAATAATAATAAACTTTATTTATCCCCCACCACCATCTCCCCAGAGGTACAAGGGACGGCTTCCATGAGGCCAAGCCCAACACTACAACAATGCAAATAAACAACATACGACAGTAAAAATATAAAAATAAAAAATAAGATACAAGAAACAATATAAATAAACATCACCAATATAAAATCACAATGGGTTGTTGTGGGTTTTGTTGTTCTAGTGGCATTCTCTCCTGATGTTTCACCTGCATCTATGATAAGTATCCTCAGAGGTAGTGAGGCCTTCGACAATACACTTAAAATCACAATAATTTAAACACAAGAAAATAAATCACAGGGTAGAAGTAGAAGGGAGAATAAAATACACACAACATCCCTGCCAGGTAGGCATATTAAATCCTCCTCTCACATCCTCCTCCAGCTGCGTAATGGGACAGAATGCCTCAAAGGCAAGCAGTTAATTCCAAACCAAAACACTGCAGAGTCCTGGTCACAGTTAGCAGAGATTTTATAGCCCAGCCTCTGATCATGTTCACGGTCAGAAAAAGCACACTTGAGCTCTGGCTTTCATCCAAACTCCTTTGGTGGTTTATTCTTCAATCGTTGCGACATACAACTATTTACAGCTCTTCCATCAATATACAGAGATATTCACAACCATAGCAAGACACTCACACAATGAGGATTGCAATGGATATAGCGAGATCATAGCAAGCTATCTAAGATGGCACATGGCAAAGAGGAAGTTCACATACATGCCACTCCCATTTCCCTGTCAGGTACGCACTTGAATTCCTTCTCTCACACCCTCCTCCAGCTGCGTTATGGGACAATTAATTCCAATCCAAAATACTGCAGAGTCCTGGTCACCGTTAGCAGATATTTTATAGCCCAGGGAGGAAATAATTCAGCTGTCACTTTAGGACCACATCTCTATTTTTCTTAACCCTCCAGTGGACTGTGCTGTGAACACATGCACATTAGAGTTGTATTTTTCCATACACTGGAGATATATGCAATGCATTCCTTTCTAATACAGCATTTTTCTACTTGACACCAACATCCCCAACAAGTAAAACTCTGCTTTCATTGAAATTTTAGCTGCTTCTAACATATGTATTTTAATCCAGTATTTCTGGGCCTTTTTACAAGGTTTGTTCTCTGCTGTGCATAGAATGGGTTCTGAAAAATTTAAGTTGGAGAAAGGTAGATGTCAATTGAATTTTAAGAGCAACGTCTTGATAGTAAGAGACGTTCAGCAATGGAACAAGATTGACTATGAAGGTGGTGGGTCTCTTTCTCTGGACGTCTTCCAGAAGGGTCTGTGCATTTACTTGTTGGAGATGCTGTGTGTTTTTATCAGTTTGTTGTGATTCTAGGAGGCTGAGTTCTCTCTCCTATCTTTTTCTTGTTCCATCCCAGGTTTACATGTTTGCCGAAGCGCTGGCGGAAGGCGCGGTGAAGATGGGAATGCCAGGGCAGCTGGCCAACAAGATTGCTGCTCAGACTCTCTTGGTACGGTGCTCAAGCGGGGAGGGGATGATATTACTCAGATCCTTTTTCACATCTGCCTGATAGCTAGTAGATAATAAGTACCCAAGTCCCAAATTGTCAGAATACCATTAGTAGCCTGCAGAATGCCTCAGCTCCTTTTACTCTCAGTGTGATAAAAACTCAAAAAATACACAAATATGTTGCTTTAAGTAGAAACAAAAATATAGTTTTATTCACTGTAGATCAAAAACACAAAGCAAAACAGAAGAACTGTTCTCACCAATACAACAAACATTATTTTTGGTGAGTCTTCTTCTTTACATGACAATATGCAAACACATAACAAAATAATACAGTCCCTCTACTTATCAGTAGAATGTCCTTATCTGCCATAAACAAGCAGTTTCCTTGGCACTCCAAAAAGCTTCTATCTTCAGCTTCAGGCCGCTGCGTAACCCTTCCCAGCAACAGCCAAAGATTTGTTCAGCTCAAACAAGCCATCAAGTTAAGCCAAATGCAAAGGTCAAAGCTTGCAAACCTAGTGCCTTGTTATATGCTGAAGCAGATAGCACACCTAAATAACTTGTGGCAACTGTAACAGAAAAGGTTCAGATCCTCTCTGTTACTTAGAAAAAACCTGATAATAGCAACAATCAACAGGTTAAGGGAGGGAGTGCTTTTTTGTAGAATCACACGCTTGTAAAACTAGAACTCCCACAGTTCTATTGCATTGAGCCATCCAGTGTAGGTCAGGCATGGGCAAACTTTAGCCCTCCAGGTGTTTTGGACTTAAACTCCCACAATTCAAAAACATAGTTCTATTCACTGTAGATCAAAAACACAAAGCAAAACAGAAGAATTGTTCTCACCAATACAACAAACATTATTTTCGGTGAGTCTTCTTCTTTACACGACGATATGCAAACACATAGCAAAATAATAAAGTCTCTCTACTTAGTAATCAATAGAATGTCCTTATCTTGCCATAAACAAGCAGTTTCCTTGGCACTCCAAAAAGCTTCTGTCTTCAGCTTCAGGCCGCTGCGTAACCCCTCCCAGCAACAGCCAAAGATTTGTTCAGCTCAAACAAGCCATCAAGTTAAGCCAAATGCAAAGGTCAAAGCTTGCAAACCTAGCACCTTGTTATATGATGAAGCTGATCGCACACCCAATTAACTTGTGGCAGCTGTAACAGAAAAGGTAGCCCCCGGTGGCGCAGTGGGTTAAACCCCTGTGCCGGCAGGACTGAAGATCGACAGGTCGCAGGTTCGAATCTGGGAAGAGGTGGATGACCTTCCTCTATCAGCTCCAGCTCCTCATACAGGGACATGAGAGAAGACTCCCACAAGGATGATAAAAACATCAAATCATCCGGGCGTCCCCTGGGCAACGTCCTTGCAGACGGCCAATTCTCTCACACCAGAAGCGACTTGCAGTTTCTCAAGTCGCTCCTGACACGACAAAAACAAAACAAAACAAAAAGTTCAGATTCTCTCTGTTACTTAGAAAAAAACCTGATGTAAACCTCTAATAGCAACAATCAACAGGGTAATGGAGGGGGTGCCTTTATGTAGAATCATAGGCTTGTAAAACTAGAACTCCCACCGTTCTATTGCATTGAGTCATAATTCTCCAATGTAGGTCAGGCATGGGCAAACTTTAGCCCTCCAGGTGTTTTGGACTTAAACTCCCACAATTCAAAAACATAGTTTTATTCACTGTAGATCAAAAACACAAAGCAAAACAGAAGAATTGTTCTCACCAATACAACACACATTATTTTCGGTTAGTCTTCTTCTTTACACGACAATATGCAAACACATAGCAAAATAATAAAGTCTCTCTACTTAGTAATCAATAGAATGTCCTTATCTTGCCATAAACAAGCAGTCTTCCTTGGCACTCCAAACAGCTTCAGTCTTTAGCTTCAGGCCGCTGCATAACCGCTCCCAGCAACAGCCAAAGGTGTCTTCTGCTCAAACAAGCCATCAAGTTAAGCCAAATGCAAAGGTCAAAGCTTGCAAAATATAATTATAATAAATAATAAACTTTATTTATACCCCGCCACCATCTCCCCAATGGGGACTCAGGGCAGCTAACATGAGGCCAAGCCCAAGAATAATACACCAGAACAATTAAAAACAGTTTTTAAAAAATTAAACACAAACAAAATACAGCATGCAACAAAATGAAATAAACAATACAAAATAACATAATAGAATCAATCACAGAGGGCGGGCCAAATGTACAGGATAAAATGTTAAAAACGTTAAAACCCTGGGTGAGGTAGGAAATAGAGAAAATGTACAGGAGGAGCCCGAGACGGGGGAGCAGTGGGATTTTGGGCTTCATTGGGGTGGGGGAAAGTGCATTGTGTAAACAAACTGTAGATGGAAACTAACAAAAGGGTTGTGTGGTCACTCTCCGAAGGCACATCAGAAAAGCCAAGTTTTTAACACTTTCTTAAAAGCTTCTAGGGTGGGAGCCTGCCTTGTTGTAACAGATAACACACCCAATTAACTTGTGGCAGCTGTAACAGAAAAGGTTCTGATCCTCCTTGATACTTAGAAAAAGCCTGTTGTAAACCTCTAGTACCAATATAAATAGCTACTAGAGACAAGAGATCTCCATTATATTGAGTTTCTTGATCAGACAAACTGCATAGTGAGCACCCAACCTCAGTCCAGCTTCTGTTTTTAAACTTTCATTTGTTACTTAGAAAAAACCTGATGTAAACCTCTAATAGCAACAATCAACAGGGTAATGGAGGGGGTGCCTTTATGTAGAATCATAGGCTTGTAAAACTAGAACTCCCACCGTTCTATTGCATTGAGCCATGCAATGCAATAGGGAACTCTGCCCCGGAGTGTGGTGGAGGCTCCTTCTTTGAAAGCTTTTAAACAGGGGCTGGATGGCCATCTGTCAGGGGTGATTTGAATGCAATATTCCTGCTTCTTGGCAGAATGGGGTTGGACTGGATGGCCCATGAGGTCTCTTCCAACTCTTTGATTCTATGATTTCCTGAGATTTTTTAATTATTTTTTATTTATTTTGTTTACGACATTTATATGCTGCCCTTCTCACCCTGAAGGGGACTTAGAGCAGCTTACAAGATATATACACATATAATATATTATATGATTAGAGTAGTATAATATCAGTATTAAATATTACTATATTGTACTATACCATTATATTGTAATATTATTAGTAATATTACATGTAATATGAATATATAATCATGATAATTATGATATCATATTATTATTAGTAGTAGTTGTATTATATTGCATTACATTATAATATTATAAATATTATATGTATATACAATCTATATATATGTAAATGCTCTGTGCATAATGAGTACCTTAAAAACAAAAGAAACAATGAACGAAATCACACCAAATTTGGCAACAAAACATCTCACTACACAAGGAGTGACCATCACTCAAAAAATTATGATTTTGTCATTTGGGAGTTGTAGTTGCTGGGATTTATAGTTCACCTATAATCAAAGAGTATTCTGAACTCCACCAATGATGGAATTGAACCAAACTTGGCACACAGAACTCCTATGACCACCAGAAAATACTGGCAGCATTTAGGGGGTATTGACCTTGAGTTTGGGAGTTGTAGTTCACCTACATCCAGAGAGCACTGTGGACTCAAACAATAATGGATCTGGACCAAACTTGGCATGAATACTCAATATGCCCAAATATGAACACAGATGGTGGTTGGGGGAAATAGACCTCGACATTTGGGAGTTGTAGTTACTGGGATTTATAGTTAACCTACAATCAAAGAGCATTTTGAACCCCACCAACAAAAGAATTGGGGCAAACTTCCCAAAGAGTGACCTTCACTCATAAAAACACCAAAATACACAGCAGAAGAGACTTAAAAAGCCAAAAACCAAAAAATACATTACAATGAATGTGCAAAGCCACATACATACGAGGGGTATTTTTTAAGTAAGGTCTGTTGGAACATAAGTACACAACGAAAGTTTATTTCAAAAAAGTAAATTTATTTTCAGAAAGTACAAACTTCACTCTATTTTTCGACATAGTTGCCAAGTTTGTTCAAACACTTATCATACTTCTGAACCAATTTTAAAATTCCCTCTTCATCAAAACTTGCCGCCTGCTCCGATAACCAAGAGTTCACTGCCGTCTGTAATCACGGAAGGGCGACCGGAGTGGTCCTCATCATGGACGTTGTCATGGCCATCTTCGAATTGTCGTACCCACTTACGCACTTTGCTTTCGCTCGTAACGGTATCACCGTACACTTCACAAATCTGTCGATGAATTTCTGCAGCAGGCAGGTTCCTTGCTGACAAAAACCGTATCACTGAGCGAACCTCACATGCGGAGGGTGAGTTGAGAGTCTTCAACATTTTTAAAGCACAGAACCGTACAGGTGAGCTACAGAGCGGAGACTGAGCACAGTTGTTCCCGAGGCATGCCGGTACATGACGCATGTGCTCATTGCGGTATGCACGCGAACTACTAGTGTCTACAACAAAACGGACCTTACTTAAAAAATAAGTAAGTACACAAACACACATATACACAAACGTACACACACCAAACACATGTACACATACTGGGCCACAGCAACACGTGGCAGGGGACGGCTAGTAATATTATAAACTAGCTTGGGAACCCGGCGCTGCCCAGGTTATTAGAGAAAGTGGGTAATGGCGGTTCTGTATGCCAAATTTGGTCTTTATTGGTCATTGGATAACGGCTGCATTGTTTTCAGGAAGTGAGTGAAGGAACTTGAAGTCCCATCATCCATTGTCCGTCCTCCTCCAAACAGCATCGGGATGTAGAGTGGGTCAAGGTGGTTCTGTGTGCCAAGTTTGGTCTTGATCGGACATTAGTAAGGGTTGCAGCAGTCTTGAGAAGGGAGTGGAGGAAGTGGAGGTACTTGAAGTCCCATCATCCATGGTCTGTCCTCCTTGAAAGTGCACTAGGATGGAGAGAGGGTCATGGGGGCTCTGTGTGCTAAGTTTGGTCTTGATCAGTCATTGGATGAGGGTCACAGCAGTCTCAGAAAGTGAGTTAAGGTACTGCAAGTCCCATCATCCATAGTCTCCCTCAAACATCACCAGAATGTTGAGTTGGCCATGGGGGCTCTCTGTGCAAAGTTTGGTCTTTATTGGTATTTGGATGAATGTCACTGTGGTTTCAGGAAGTGAGTGAAGGTACTGCAAGTCCCATCATCCATTGTCCGTACTCCTCCAAACAGCACCAGGATGATCGGACATTAGTAAGGACATTAGTCGCCCGTAAGGGCTGAGAATGGCGGTTAATAAGTGCATCTAATAATAATAATAATAATAATAATAATAAGGGTTGCAGCAGTCTTGGGAAGGGAGTGGAGGTACTTGAAGTCCCATCATCCATGGTCTGTCCTCCTCGAAAGTGCACCAGGATGTAGAGTGGGTCATGGGGACTCTGTGTGCCAAGTTTGGTCTTGATCAGTCATTGGCGAGGGTCTCAGTGGTCCCAGGAAGTGAGTGAAGTGACTGCAAGTCCCATCATCCATTGTCAAATTCTTCCAAACCGCACCAGGATGTAGAGTGGGTCATGCTGGGTTTCTGTGTAAATTGTGGTCCTGATCCATCATTGTTGGCAGTTGTAATGGTCTTAGGAAGGGAGTGCAGGTATTGCAAGTCCCATCGTCCATGGTGCATCCTCCTCCAAACTGCACCAGGATGTAAAGTGCATCATGGAGACTCAGTGTGCCAAGTTTGGTCTTTATCGGTAATTGGATGAGGGTTGCAGTGGTCTCAGGAATTGAGCAAAGGTACTGCAAGTCCCATAATCCATGGTCCATCCTCGTCCAAACCACACCAGGACGTAAAGTGGGTCATGAGAGGTCTATGTGCCAAGTTTGGTCCTGATCAGTCATTGGATGAGGTTAACAGCCGTCTCAGAATGTGAGTGATGGTACTGCAAGTCCCATCATCCATGGTTGCAGTAGGATGTCGAGTCGGTCTTGCAGGCTCTGTGTGCCAAGTGTGGTCTGTATTGGTAATTTTCTGACTCGGCTCCCTCTGGCCTTTTCCTTTCCTCTCTTTGTCATCTCGGAATCTTGGAATTGAGGCTGGCCAATCAGAGACCATATGCAAATTTCCTTCTCATGACTCCGTTTCTGTCATGAACTCTTTTCTCCACCAGGGGCTCCTCTTGAAGCTGGCCAATCAGAGACCATATGCAAATAGCACCGCTGCCCAGCCAATTGGAATCTTTGAACTTTCAGGCTGGCCAATTAGAGACCACAGTGGCAGCCAATCAGAAAGCGAGCACATACACCGCCACACTTTTGTCCTCCGCATACAAGTTTTGACTTTTATTATATATATAGATATTATATGTATATACAATATATTACATTACATTATATTAGAATAGCACAGGAGACATGGTGGAACTGTCTTCTGCCCCCCTCTCTCTTCACTCTGGCCCAGGTTGCCATAAACCATTAGCCCATTACACCATTATTTCTTTGCTATGTGTCTTCAGATTCAGTACAGTTTCCAACCTGCGCGCCATCCTTCACGTGCTAGTCGGGGTTTGCTTTTTTTACTTGCTGCATCACATTGTCGTCTTTTCTCTCTTTCCAGGGAGCAGCCAAAATGATGCTGGAAACAGGGGAGCACCCGGCAGCTTTGAGGAGCGCGGTTTGCACGCCGGGAGGCACCACTATCCACGCTTTGCACGAATTGGAGAAAGGGGGTCTCCGGGCGACCGTCATGAATGCCGTGGAGGCGGCCACCAACCGGGCTCGCGAAATGGGCAAGCGATAAAGCGACAAGTGGCCACAACAAAGCCATTTTGAGCCTCCTGAGCATGGGATGGCCGCCTTGTCAGTCCACCTTGCCTCCATGGCTCACATGGAACAAGAACTACTGCAATTTCCTATGAAATGCAGCCTGGGGCAGGTGTGCTGACTCCATACCTTTTGCAGTATGGACTTTATAGGACTAGTTTCAACTCTTGGAGATCAGTCTGGATCCTCAACTCCCTGATTCTTGTTTATTTTGCAGGGAGTGAATTGTTCAACCAACTGCTTGTTACTAATTGCACCAATTTGTTAGCTTTGTTTACCATCTGAGCTTCCCTTTGTTTTGTTTTTTATGTTATTTCATTTTCATAGTTTTATGACATAAAGACAAAGGGAAAAAAGATGGGAGATAGTAAAAATAATATGTTGTTCACGGAGTTTTGTTAGTAAATTACTTCTATACATGAGTCCGTTGTATCACTGGGTGTGTGAAGAGTGGGAGGGGGAATTATACATATTCTCGACCATATAAAGGACTCCCATCTATATAAATAAAAATGTAATGTTCGTTTGTGGGATTAACAGAACTCAAAAACCACTGGACGAATTGACACCAAATTTGGACACAAGACACCTAACAACCCAATGTATGTCCTTCACTCAAAAAAAAAATGATTTTGTCATTTGGGAGTTGTAGTTGCTGGGATTTATTTATTGTTATTATTATTAGTAGTATTAGTATTGATGCTCCAAATCCTGGGAACTCTCTAGGAGCAATTCAGGGAGTAAATCATCATCCCTAGGTTTATTTATCATGTCAGGAGCAACCGGACATTTGTATTACATTTTTAACAAAGCAAACAAACAGACAGACAAAACAAAAGTTTGCAAGTTGGTAGTGGATTAAATGTCCTTTGACCAGTATCTGGCCACTTGGAGTGCTTCTGGTGTTTCCGCAAGAAGGTCCTCCATTGTGCATGTGGCGGGGCTCAGGTTGCATTGCAGCAGGTGGTCAGTGATTTGCTCTTCTCCACGCTCGCATGTCGAGGATTCCACTTTGTGGCCCCATTTCTTGAGGTTGGCTCTGCATCTCGTGGTGCCAGAGCGCAGTCTGTTCAGCGCCTTCCAAGTCGCCCAGTCTTCTGTGTGCCCAGGGGGAGTCTCTCATTTGGTATCAGCCATTGTGTTCTGGGTTTGAGCCTGCCACTTTTGGACTCTCGCTTGCTGGGGTGTTCCAGCGAGTGTCTCTGTAGATCTTAGAAAACTATTTCTTGATTTAAGTAGTTGACATGCTGGCTGATACCCAAACAAGGGATGAGCTGGAGATGTCTCTGCCTTGGTCCTTTCACTATTGGCTGCTACTTCCCGGCGGATGTCAGGTGGTGCAATACCGGCTAGACAGTGTAATTTCTCCAGTGGTGTAGGGCAGACACCCTGTGATAATGCGGCATGTCTCATTAAGAGCCACATCCACTGTTTTAGTGTGGTGAGATGTGTTCCACACTGGGCATGCATACTCAGCAGCAGAGTAGCAAGCACAAGAGCAGATATCTTCACTGTGTCTGGTTGTGATCCCCAGGTTGTACCAGTCAGCTTTCGTATGATAATGTTTCTAGCACCACTTTTTGCTTTATATTCAGGCAGTGCTTCTTGTAGGTAAGAGCACGGTCCAGAGTGACTCCCAGGTATTTGGGTGCGCTGCAATGCTCCAGTGGGATTCCTTCCCAGGTAATCCTCAGAGCTTGGGATGCTTGTCTGTTCTTAAGGTGAAAGGCACATGTCTGTGTTTTAGATGGATTAGGGATCAGTTGGTTTTCCCTGTAATAGGCAGTAAGAGCACCTAGAGCTTCGGAGAGCTTCTGTTCTACCGTCTCAAAGCTCCCTGCTTGAGCGGTAATGGCACGATCATCAGCATAGATGAAACTCTCTGTCCCTTCTGGCAGTGGCTGGTCATTTGTGTAGATTTGAACATGGATGGAGCAAGCGCGCTCCCCTGAGGCAGGCCGTTCTTCTGTTTCCGCCATCTGCTTCTCTGGCCCTGGAACTCAACAAAAAAGCTCCTGTTTTGTAGCAGGTTTCCTATGAGGCGGGTGAGGTGGTAGTCCTTTGTGTCTAGGTGTCTCTATGCCATTATCTGCATCAATATCACTGACCAAACCATTGGCATCTTGAACCTCATTGACATCATTCCCCACATCCAAAGCACCCTGTTCCTGAAACAATCACAGGCTGAACTCCCAATAGTAACAAATAAATAAATAATGGACAAGCTTTGGACTACGTCCCTGAATGTTTCTGCAAAGTTGTTTAGAATGGATTGTACGTCTTCTTCTGCGCCCGTACCTTGGGAAGTCGGATCTAGCCACGGTGGTCCACTCTCGTTACATCCGAATAGATTACTGCAACGCACTCTACGTGGGGATGCCTTTGAAGACTGTTCAGAAACTTCAATTAGTCCAACGAGTGACGGCTAGATTACTCACCGGAGCGTCATACAGGGAGCTAACCACCCCTCTGCTATGTCAGCACCACTGGCTGCCGATCCAGTTCCGGGCCCAATTCAAAGTGCTGGTTTTGACCTACAAAACCCTTTACGGCTCCGGCCCAGTGTACCTGTCCGAACGTATCTCCTTCTACGTCCCACCTCGGAGTTTAAGATCTGCTGGGAGGGCCCTACTCTCGGCCCCAACTTCATCACAAGCGAGACTGGTGGGGATGAGGGACAGGGCCTTCTCGGTGGTGGCCCCTCGCCTGTGGAATTCACTCCCCGGGGAAATTAGGACATCAACATCCGTCCTCTCCTTCAGGAAGAAGCTAAAAACCTGGATGTGGGACCAAGCATTCGGGTAAGCTGGCAGATGGACAAAGACAACCAATAATGACCAGAGTAGGAAAGGACAATGACGATGCTAAATGGTTTACGGACTTGGATTTGGTGAACACTGACCACAAGATGTTTTATTGCTGCTAGTATACTGTCTGATGGTTTTAATTAGTTATAACTGTGATATTATGTGGTAAATTTGTGTATTGTATAGTGTATTGTATGTTGTAAAGAAAATCCAACAAATTCTAGGTTCAGCAAAGGACAAGAGGGATCCTCTTACCTCTGCAGGAGTCTACCGTAGACCATGCAGCTGTGGACAAGTCTACATAGGGACCACCAAACGCAGCGCCCAAACAAGAATCCAGGAACATGAAAGGCACTGCAGACTTACTCAACCAAAGAAGTCAGCCATAGCAGAGCACCTGATGAACCAACATGGACAGAGAATATTATTTGAGAACACAGAAATGCTGGACCACACCAACAACCACCATGTCAGACTACACAGAGAAGCCATTGAAATCCACAAGCAGGTGGACAATTTCAGCAGAAAGGAGGAAACCATGAAAATGAACAAAATCTGGCTACCAGTATTAAAAAACGCTAAAATTACAACAGCAAAACAGCAGAGAGGAAACAACCAGGCACATCTTAACACCTCTCAACAAAAGGTTTTCCCAGGCTCAGCCAGGCCTTCAAATGCTAATGAAGGTGATCAGCTGAAACATTCACACCTAGCTCTAGCAGGGAAGAGCTCCTTGCCCCACCCCAGCCATTCCACAGATATATAAACCCATTGTCCTATTTCCAACAGACCTCACTGCCTCTGAGGATGCTTGCCATAGATGCAGGCGATATGTCAGGAGAAATTCCTCTAGAACATGGCCCTATAGCCCGAAAAAACCCACAAGAACCTAGTGATTCCAGCCATGAAAGCCTTCGACAATACATGAATCACAGGCTGAACTCCCAACAGTAACAAATAAATAAATAATGGACAAGCTTTGGACTAAGTCCCTGAATGCTTCTGTAAAGGTGGATTGTACATCTTCTGAATGCACATAGACGACGTTGTCATCAGCATATTGGAATTCTATGATGAGGTGGTAACCCTCAGTGGGGTGAAGTCTCTGGATCCATAACTATCTTACAAAACTATCCCACAATTGATAAAATATTAAACCATGGCAAATGTGGTATCAATATGTTATCATTCACACTAGGATTTAGTTCCAGCTTTTAAAAGCATCATGCAAAGTAGGCAACTAAACCCATCCTGCCTTCCCATTGGACATTCAATGCGCATGCTCTTTGTGGACTCTTAACCCCCCCCTTTTTTTTAATTGGAGTATTCCAGTCTATTGGATCCTTCCTGCCTTCCCATTGGACACTCACTGCGCATGCTCTTTGTGGACTCCTCACCCCCCCTCCCCCAGTTAATGGAATATTCCATTCTATTGGCTTCTTCTTGCCTCTCGATTGGATCGTTCCAAATAAACAAATCTAGAAGGGGGGGAGTCGTTTTTATATTTTTACCTTTTAGATTCGTAAAAGCCAACGCCTTTTAATGAATTCCCTATTTAAATACTTATTCTACAACGCGAGGGAAGGATTCCGGTATTCTGGACGAGGGGACGTGTTCAGCTTCGATTTGTTCTCCCCCCCTCCCATCATTTTGGTCTCGCCCTTTCATGGGCGAGTCCATTATAGCCAAAATTTGAGGCAAAGAAAAAAGAAAACGGGATAAAATATAAAACCGGTACAAATGAATGTTATTATTTGAAATTGTTAATTTTTAGAGAAGCAAATATTTTGTTTTAATGTCTCCCTCAGCGTCCGATCTTTCTTCTTCGCCTTTTTGAGAATTCCGCACCCCCCTTTTTTGAGTCAGAGTTGGTTTCTCCCAAGAGGCCGCTTTTCCCAGAAGCCTTTGCGCGGCGCGTGCTGGCTCTCTTTCGCCTCAGGACCAGAAGCGGAGCGGTTCCCCTTCCTCATCTCCCTGGTGTTATTATTTATCAGTGTTATTGTTTTACAGACATCTCCTTTGCTGCTAACGCGTGAGTAGCGCCTTTCTCTTACTGAGGCCAAGATTATATGTAGAAGGGAAAGAAAAAGAGTCTTAAAAGGGGCTTGGCCTTGTTCGCCCCCAAAAGCAGGGGGACAGTTAGAGGGACGCCCTTAAACCATCGCCCTTTTAAGTCCACTTGATCAAATGGGATAGAGGGGTTTAGTGGGCCCCCCTGGCTCATACTCATAGTACACTTCAATTATTAGCATTATATTGTATTACATTACAATACTATCAATATTTTATATATATATATATATTATATTATATTATATTATATTATATTATATATAATTTTCTTAGCATAGCGCAATATTAGGATTATATATTGTCACATTGAATTAATATTACATGTATATTCAATATATTACATTTTTAGCATAACGCACTATTCGTATTATATCTTGTATAAATAAAATGCTGGACCACACCAACAACCACCATGTCAGACTACACAGAGAAGCCATTGAAATCCACAAGCATGTGGACAATTTCAACAGAAAGGAAGAGACCATGAAAATGAACAAAATCTGGCTACCAGTATTAAAAAACTCTAAAATTATAACAGCTAA